AAATGCGTGCCAAATAAACGTACATAAGAAAAACTAAATTATCTCAATTGTGTGAATGCTTTGTAAGCATTTACATAACTAGTATCTTATAAGAGACGAGTCTATGTTTAGCTTCTATCTGATTCTCCAGAGGTGGTGAAGCATCAGACTCTAGTAGCTACTTTGATAGCTGGGATGGTTTAAAGAGTCTCTGAATATCCAGGTCGGCCTGGTGGGTGAAACAGCCGTAGCTTCTGAGAATGAACATTAATGAGGCAAACATTTATTTCCTGAATCACTAACCACACATATTTTTTATTAGTTTTATAATTTCTGTGGGAATAAAAAGAACATGTGTTGCTTAATATTTATCTTGTTGATTTTTTTTATTTTGCACAAAGGTGTCAGCATTTTTCTCCCTCCTGTCAGGTCGATGTTATGTCTCGTAAAAACAATCCGGTCCAATATTTAAATCAGAGAAGCAGACGCCTCCTACACCCACATAAACCACACCTGAAATGGGAGCGTTTTTGATTTTAGCCGCATGAAATAAAACAAACACAGTGTACTGGTTTGGATTTCTAATTAATTAATTAATTATTATAGTTTATTATTCATTTCGAAGTAATAATTCTATGATAATACTCCAAATTAACAAAGGTAAATGGGGGAAACAAAAAGTAATTCTAAAACAAAAAAAAGACTAAAGAAGTGGAGTAAATATGTATATATTCAACTCTTTGCTGTAAAGTCTCAATCTTTACATTTGAAAGCCTCATAATTACCTTTGCCAAGGGTGAGGTAATGTTTTCGGTCGCATCTGTCTGTCTGTCCGTCCGTCCGTCCGTCCGTCCGTCCGTCCGTCCGTCCGTCCGTCTGTCTGTCTGTCCGTCTGTCTGTCTGTCTGTCTGTCTGTGGACAACATTACTCAAAAACCTGTGTATGGATTGTCATGACATTTTTCCACATGTGGGTACTGGGCGAATGAACACACCTTTTAATTTTGGTGATGTTCCGGATCACGATGTGGATACAGGAATTTTCTTTTCTTTTAACTCTCTGAGATCAGCAAAGCTGTGATGCTTTCACAGGGCTTCTGTAAAAAACAGTGAGCTGGATTGGACAGCACGACTTCAAACTTTATAAAAGTAATGTTAAAACCACATTTAATGATGAATAATTTTTGCCATAATGTGCACATTTACAGAACGTTTTGTGACCAGGAAGTGTGTGACTGCACCATGAAACTTATTTTTCCCATTTCCTCAAACACACCACATTTCCGAAACAACCAATCAAAACAGTTTCTCGTTACTAGGCTTGTAAACAGAGAGCTGCCGGGCCTCAAAGTTTGGAGACAAGGGGAGCCAGGAAGCACTTTATAAAGAGAGTCAAACCATTACAAACTCATACAAAGGAATAAAACAGACGTTTTACATGGTCAAATATGACTGATGAAAATTTAGGAGCTTAATCCGACACCAGTTTGACATGAATAACGTCGGGTGACGAGTCTGACTTTTTTTTTCTTCACATTAGACTCCACCGGGAAGAAATCCCATGCATACTGCCTGCTTAAATGTTCGCTATGTCAGAACTTATTTGGCAAATGTGTTTCCATCTCTGCTTTTGGGCATTAACTCTTACAGGATGGAGGAAATTGGTCTTGGTGGAGGTTTGCGCTCTCCGAGTACTTCTAGCTTAGTTAAATGAGATCCACTTGTGGGCAGACACTGTTGTATATATCACTGTATCTCCTCTCTTTAGTTCTCTGTGTTCTAGAAATGTCTGATCTGTTTGCTCCAAACTGCTGACTGATAGTTTATCTGTCAGCAGCTCACTGCAGGAGTCAGAGATCCCTGTCAGCATTGATCCTGTTCTCTGTAAAGATCCACGCTGCAGCTAGTTAACAATATTACCTCATGGCAAGAAGGTCCTGGCCTCAAGTGTCCACTTGTCTATGTTCTCTGAGTCTGAGTTAACTTCAGGTCTCCTCTCACAGACAGAAATATGTACGTTAAGTTATTACAGATTCTCACTTGGTCTTATGGACTGAGTCCAGGTTGGACCTGTGGGCTGAGGTAGGCACCAGCACCACGTGACCCTGAATAGTACTAACAAAATGAATATATAATGACTCGTATCGTTTCATGGACCTGTTGATGTTTAGCAGAAATATATAATTTCCACAGTAAGTTTTGTGGAATTCTGTCCTCTATTGTTTTCCTCTGTTGCAGCACAAACAAGACGAATAAAGTCTAAATTGTTAAAAGTGATTTTACCTGACAGAATATCTTAACAAAGATGAAATTGCACAGAAAAAAACTCACTACAGGTGATGAGTTTTATAAGAAAGAATTGCACGAGTATCATGTTACGCATGTTTTGTTTTGTCACATGTGCCTGTTGTTTGTAATGTTTGACAAAAATATTTGATTTCATACATCTATAAAATAATATGTTTAAAGTGATTGATGGGAAAAATGAAAACTAATTTAACAATTTGCTTTATAGGTCAAAACTCAAATTTATTACTATAACATATCTACAGCTCCTTACCATCCCAAAGTGCAGAACATAAATAATAATAAGATTACAGAAAAAATAACAAAATTATGAATACAACAAATTTGAATGGGGATAAAAAAACAAATCTATATAAATTAGTATTACAGTGATGCACAAGATGGGGTGTCGTTAGGAAACAACAGGTGTAGTTTTCATCATTCAAGACTGTAAAGAGCCCAGCTCCATTAGAAGCCAAACAGTCAACTCAAGGTCACGTGGTTGTTGGATTTGTGTTTTTGCACACAAACAAAGTTTATTTATTTATTTATTTATTTTGATGGAAGTCCTTTGTTCTCCTGTGTTCTGCATGTGTTATGTCCACTATGTGTGCATCTGTCCAAATATCGAGGCACAAAGTCTTGCTCCAGTTTTGTACCATGTGGTGGTAGCATTAGCCAACACTGAAGGGCTCATTTTTACTACGCTGCTTAGTGACGGTGGCTCGTGAAGTCCAAAAAAGGCGCATGTTTCCTGTCTCTGGTTTGGGTCGACGTCGGTCTGTATTCACACTAAAAGCGAACCGCACCAGAGTTTGTTTGGAATTGGACCGAGACCACCTCAAAAGTGGGTCTTGGTCTGGTTGTTTGGTCCACATCGGGATTCCCACGAGTATCCACACCTGTATAAAAAGTCTGGGCCAACAGGGGAAACAAACTGGTTCTTTTAAAGTGGACCAAATGTGTCAGGTGCGAATACACCCTTAGATATTTGGCCACAAATCTGTCACATTTAAAGTGACACTTTTTGCCAGAAAGATTCCTCCAAGCACAAAATCTCTATTTGAGTTTGACCATTTGGCTCTTTAACAGCCAGGTTCTGGGAATGAGTAGTTGAAGCAAAATGCAGCGTCCGAGCGGTTTCAGCATAAACCAACACGCCCATGAACCTCTGACCAATCACACAGTCAGTTTGTATACAGGGGCGGTGGGTTCTTCTGGTGGGTTGTGATGAGAAGGGGTGGAAAACTGAAGCTGAGAACAAAATGACGAGATTTGTTTTCACACAAGTGCAGCGATGGGAGTGGATTTTTCCAGTTCAGATGGATCTTTTGGAGGCCTTAATGGAAATATAAATCAGCCTTTAGAGCAACCTTTTTAGACTTGTGTACCCCCTGAGCCATTTTGTCATTCCCTTAGTACCCCTTCAGTCAAACATAATGATTCTCCAAAACTATAATGCACAACTGATTATTAAAAATTATTTATTTAACCCCTGTTTAATTCTCAGGCATTTTATTTTTTTTCCAACTCAAATTAAACATAAAGATAAAAATGTTGCCTTGAAAGTGAATAAGTAATGAAATAAATAAATCAGATAATGGCAGGTGCAGAAAACAGCAGCGTCCAAAATATGTCAGAAACTCGACCAAATGAGCAAATTCCATGAGATTCCATGTTTTATACTGGATTCCATTCTGTGTTAACTCCATGGTTCCGTCTGCAATTTCCACATTGCAGAAATCATAGGGCCCTACATATCTCAGTCCTATTTTTATTTCTCTTTTTTACACACCTGGCAATTTTTTCTGCGTACCCCCTGTAACATGTTCGTGTGGGAATCACTGCTTTAGACAGTATGCAGTGCTGAAGGAACTGTCCAAGGTCCTGAAAAGGCCCTGCATATCTCAGTCCTATTTATTTTTATTTTTTTACACACCTGGGACATTATTCCATGTACCCCCTGTAATATGCTTGCGTATCTCAATGTGTACATGTACCCCTGGTTGGGAATCACTGATTAAGAGGACTGTAAATGTAAAGATTTCACTCTGAACTTGTACGGAGAAAGATGTTTTTTGGTGATAAAGTCTTAGCTGTGCTTGACGAAAAGAAATTTGCGATATTGTTGCGCCCTCCCTAAATCGTGTGGCTGCGACCGGGTTTTTCTCAAATCTACATCTACACTGAGCTCTTTTTGCTCCATCAATCAATGAATCAGTCTTGGTCTTTTGTGACTGCACTGAAAAAATAAATTGCAACTTGCAGCTTCACTTCACTATTTTTGCAAGGTTGCGTTTGGCTCTGCGCTGTAGCACAATGTGTGTACACGTGTGTGCGTGCGGTTTTGTGTGTCCTGTATCTACAGTCTGTATAGCCGGGTGACCTTGATGTCTGCACTCAGCAGGAAGACACAAGAGAGGAGTGATTAACAAGAGAGAGAGAGAGAGAGAGAGAGAGAGAGAGAGAGAGAGAGAGAAGGAAGATGAGGAGAAGTGCGAAGAATATTGAAATAAATAAAAAAAAACAACAACAGAAAAGCAGTTGGGCGAAGGGAGAGTGTGAAAGTTAAACATGGAATGAGACACTTCAGTGACAAAAGTGACGGGAGACGAGTTGGAAGAGAAGCTAAAAAATAAAAAATAAAATAAAGAAAAGTGTAGAAAACTGGGTGGGGTGAAAGAGTGACTCACCACACATCTGTTGGTTTTTTCTTCTTCTTCTTTCCCCCTGCAGGCAATCTGGAGGTGCAGTCATCAAGAACAGGTAGGTGGGGGAGATGAATGGAACGCGGGGGAGGGGGGAGGGACAAAAGGAAGAATATTACACTGAATGTTAATCAAACTCTCACTTGTGCTGGTGAGAAAATACAGTGCAGACATTGTGTTCGCAGTGTGGAAATGTGCTGAAGAGTTCCTGCCAGCTTATCTCTCACACACATACACACGTGCACACACACACACACACACACGCACACACAGTATAACTGTACATGACCCGAGCACCAATTGTCCTTTTTGACTTACACACATGCCCTCCTGTAACATGAAGCTTCGTCGCTCACATACACTCACACACACACTCACACACAAACTGAAAAACTGACCCTACAAATGTGCCTGAAAGTCAGCGTGAAACTCAGACCCTTCATGTTTTCACAGCTGTTTTCCTGGCTTGTCCTTGACCTGTGACCACTGACCCCGCCCCCTCACCCTCCTCCTCCTATTCCTATCTTTGTTAAAGGTAGTAATTTACTGCACTGTAACTGCTGGCGACTTGGCACACAACACTTGTGAGGGAGTATCTTTACTGTTTTAAAATGTCAAAGGGATTTCTCAGTTTTAAACAAGAATAATGTGCACAACCAATAATAGGATTTTGCAGTGCGCACACATACAAATATGCCTTTAATCTTAAAAATTAGTCACTGAAAACAGGGCCACATGGCTTGCTGGTTGTTTGGTTAACAGAGAAGTATCATTGCTTAATTCTTTTATTTCATTACAGTACTTAAGTAATTTTTTTTTGAGGATTTGTTATTTTACCAACTATTTTTTTCATCGGAATTTAGACTTTTATTTTGTTACATTCAAAAAAATAAAAGTCATTCTTTTTACTTCTTCACTTTAAAATTTAACATCTAATATGTTAAATCAAGTTGTTTATGCACAAAATTGAGGTGTTGAATTTACTCAACCAAGTTATGTCAACTGGTTCCACTAAATTCAACATTTTATTTTTCAGAGTGCGTATAAACATGATTTTACTTTCCTTGCTATTGTGAGCAGTTTTGTGACTTTTACTTAAGTACTTTCCTTATCAGAGAAATTCAGTCATTCTCTGTAAAGCTATTTTTACTTTTACTTAGTTATTTCTTTTAAGCACTTTATATACCTCTGCTGGTCAGAATTCAGTGAAACTGCAGTAGAAAATTTACCAATTTTTTTGCAATTTGTGGATCCTTTTGTGTCACCAACTAGTCTCCAATTGTTGCCTTACAGAAAGCGTAAATGATAGAAAATAGTTTGTGAAGCTTGGACAGTTAACATCATTATCATTCTTGAACATTGCTTGTGGCGTTCATCAGGGTTGTGTAATGGGTTCATAACAGTTTATTCTCTTTAGAAATAAAACTTGAAGATTTTTTTAAATGACATTTGCAATGCTTGCTAATGACAAATGTACTTTTTTCTGATTTTAGTGAAAACTTAAAGGAATAACTGCAATTAAAGACCTTGGGAATTAAAAAAAAATAAAACTCTAGTTTTATGAATAAAAAAATACCAGAATAAACAATTACTAATAAATAAATTAGCGGCACAGCGGCCAGTCGCTGGAGTTTGCATGGTTTCTCTGTGCATGTGTGTGGTTTCTCCTGGCTTCCTCCCACAGACTGTTAGGTTAATTGATAACTTTAAATTGTCCCTAGGTGTAAGTGAGAGAATGAATGGTTGTTTGTCTCATTTGTCTCTATGTGTATCCCTGTGATGGACTTATGACCTGTCCAGGGTGTACCCCAAAGCTTACCATCATCAGTGGGTGAAGTGTAACATGCGTTTGGGGTCCATATGGACTTGATAAGAAGCTGTATAAGTTCAAGCCATTTACCATTTACCCAACCCTCACTGTGACTGCTGGATATGGACACCAGTGACCCCCGTGACCCTGTAAGGAAGAAGCAGGTACAGCGGGTATATAAGTATTGAACACGTCACCATTTTTCTCAGTAAATATATTACTAGAGGTGCTAATGACATGAAATTTTCACCAGATGTTGGTAACAACCCAAGTGATCCATACATACAAAAAAATCAAACCATAAATGTCCAGAAATGAAATTATTTGTAATAATGTGGAATGGCACAGGGAAAAAGTATTGAACACACTTACTGAAATTCATCTAATACTTTGTACAAAAGCTTTTGTTGTCAATGACAGCTTCAAGACACCTCCTGTATGGAGAAACTAGTGGCATGCATTGCTCAGGTGTGATTTTGGCCCATTCTTCCACACAAACAGTCTTCAAATCTTGAAGGTTTCGTGGACCTCTTCTATGAACTCTGATCTTTAGTTCTTTCCATAGATGTTCTGTTGGATTCAGGTCAGGTGATTGGCTGGGCCATTCCAGCAGCTTTAGTTTCTTTCTCTGAAACCAACTGAGAGTTTCCTTGGCTTTGTGTTTGGGCTCATTGTCTTGCTGAAATGTCCAGCCACGTTTCATCTTCATCATCCTGGTAGATGGAAGCAGATTTTCATCAAGAATGTCTCTGTACATTTTCCACTCATCCTTCCTTCAATTATTTGAAGTTTGCCAGTACCATATGCTGAAAAACAGCCCCACACCATGATGTTCCCACCTCCAAACTTCACTGTTGGTATGGTGTTTTTGGGCTGATGTGCAGTGCCATTTGACCTCCAAACATGATGTGTATTCTGGCATCCAAACAGTTCAATGTTGGTCTCATCTGACCAGACTATATTCTCCCAGTATTACACAGGCTTGTCTAAATGTTGTGCAGCAAACTTTAAAGGAGCTTCAACATGCTGTTTCTTCAGCAGTGGAGTCTTGCGTGGTGAGCGTGCATACAGGCCATGGTGGTTCAGTGCATTACTTATTGTTTTCTTTGAAACAAACGTACCTGCTAATTCCAGGTCTTTCTGAAGCTCTCCACAAGTGGTCCTTGGCTCTTGGACAACTGTTCTGATAATTCTTTTCACTCCTCTGTCAGAAATCTTGTGAGGAGCACCTGGTCGTGGTCGGTTTATGGTGAAATAATGTTCTTTCCACTTCTGATTTATGGCCCCAACAGTGCTCACTGGAACCTTCAGAAGTTTAGACATTCTTCTGTAACCGATGCCATCATTATGCTTTGCAACAATAAGGTTGTGAAGGTCTTGAGAGAGCTCTTTACTTTTACCCATCATCAGATGGTTCTTGTGTGATACCTGGCCATCATTTGGGACTGAACCAGCTGATATTAACTTGCACTGACAAGGGGCAGGCTTGTTTTCTAATTACTGAGAGAGTTCAGCTGGTGTCTTGGCTTTCCATGCCTTTTTAAACCTCCCTTTCTTCATGTGTTCAATACTTTTTCCCTGTGCCATTCCACATTATTACAAATAACTTCATTTTTGGACATTTATGGTTTGATTTCTTTGTATGTATGGATCACTTGGGTTGTTACCAACATCTGGTGAAAATTTCATGTCATTAGCACCTCTAGTAATATATTTACTGAGAAAAATGTTGACGTGTTCAATACTTATTTTACCCGCTGTTTTAGATAATTGATGGATGGAAATTTGTCAAGATGAACTATGCTACTCTTTCATATAAAGAGTAAATAAAAGTAAGTTCCTTTGTGCAATAATAGATGATAAACAAGTTGGAAACCCCATATAAACCAGAAACAATATTTAGCAGGAAGTACACCACATGTGATCTGGTTCAGCTATGTCTGAATTATTGTTAAATCAGTTAAACAAATCTTTTTTTATCTTCAACACTAATACTAATATTCAATTCAATTTAATACTAATACTGCAGAAGAAGAGATAATCTTCATAAACTGATCACAGAGATTATTTGCTATTTTCAAAATCAAGAATATTAAAATTGCATAGGTTTTTAGTCAACTTTCGCTATTACAAAAAAGCAAAACTTTTATTTTGTAATGAAGCGTATACTTGAGGGGAGAGTTGAACTTTGAGCTGCATTATAAAGCTGTGTTGCCTCGCAGCGAAAAGGTCACAGGTTCAAATCCAGAATGAAGTCTATCTGTGGAGTTTGCGTGGTCTCCCAGTGCACGTGCAGCCTAACGTTCTACTCCGTTTTCTTCCAAAGATCATCGTATTTTAGGTTATTGGCAACTCAAAATTGTCTCTATATGTGTGAATGAGAGTGTGAATGTTTTGTTTGTGTATGTGGCTCTTTGATTTACCAGCTGTGTGTCCAACGTATCTCACTCAGAGTCAGTGGAGATAGACACCAACTCCCTGCAAGTGGGTACAGAAAATGTATGGAGTTAAACTCAAAATAACAATTAAAAAGCAGATGTATAACATAGTGAATTGCATTAAGACAAGAACTAAAGCAATGTTCAAGTATGATCCAGTTCAAAAGGTAGTGCAAAAATATCATTTTACTGAGTGAGGAAAGAGCAGTTTGATGTTGCTTTATCAAACAAGCAGAGGAAATATGTAGTTTATTTTGTGTAAATTTGTATCCATGTCCTAAATGTATAGTGCATTGACAAAATATTTATATCATTCAAACTTTTTCACATTTTATCAATTTAAAACCACAAACTTCAGTATTTCACTGGGATTTAATGTGACGGAACATCGTAAAGTAATTCATAACTGTGAAGAAGAAGGAAAATGATTAATGATTTTCAAAATGTTTTGCAGAAGAAAATGAATCATCTCTCCTTACTCTGACACCTCAAAACATTTTTTTAAATGTTTTGGAAATTGTGTTTTCTTTGAATATACTCTGGGGATAAAAGGGGCAGACATTATAAGATTTATTCTTCTTCTGCTACCTTTCATTTTATTTAGATTTTTGATTTGTTTATTTTCTCTGTTTTCTATCATATATAGTTATTTTGATTTTAAATGAAATTAATAATTTTTTAAATTGAATTAAATTGAATTGAAATTCCAGCTCAACTAATCACCTAATCAAGAGTTTGAGCAAAACACCTAGAACATAATACTGTAGTTTTATGTGAGAACCTTGTACAAGCATAAGCCATTCAGTAGGACAATAAGTAAGTTACTGTATATATAATCATGAACGAAATTAAATTCAACATACTTAAAAAACACAATAATGTGTCTAAACACAATTTATCTGAAATTTTCAATAACAAACTCCCCGTTTCGTACATACTGGTCCGTCAAAAAAAAGGCTAAGCTATCTGCTGTTTTTGTGGTCTACTGTGGGTCATGAGGTTTATCTTCATGCAACAGTGCACACTTTAATCCTTCCCCCACCCCATGATGGCAAGTTCGCGGTTTTCAATTGAACTAATATAAAAATATTCAAAATAAATGTTTTCCTGGTGCTTCAAAAATTGCTGCAGCGATTGAAAATGCCCAAAATCAAAGATTTGTGTGAAGGGTGACCCTGAGCTTGCAAAAGAATTAGCAAAACCACTCAATAATGTGCAGCTGCAGCCAAAATTTATAATTCAAGAAGCCTTTAACCAATAATTTTTGTTATCACAACTTTATATATAATTTGTCCAATTAACATCAGTTTATATGCTGAAACATCAAAAAGTCAAAAATGATTTTTACAGTGTGTGTGATTTCATCTCAATAAAAATCCTGCTTCTGTGAAGACCTCAGAAGTTTGTTTCAAACTTTAACGATCAAACAGCTTCTTGAAGAACAAGTTACACACCACAACGGTCAGGGATGAAGTTGTTGAGAAATTATAACAGGGTTAAAACAATGAGCTTCAGCTAAGGTCAAAATCCAGACCTAAGTCCAGCCGAGAATCTGTAGCAAGACTTAAGATTGTTGTTCACGGATGCTCTCCAACAAAAACACAAAACCTTCAGTGTCTAGATGTGCAAGGCTGGTAGAAACAAACCCCAAAAAGCTACAGCTAGAGAAGGTGTTCCTGCAAAGTTTTGGCTCATGGGGACTGAAAACAAGTGCATACCAAACTTTTCAAATTTCATTTTGGAAAATAAACCCCATAAAAACCACGAAGCATGAATAATTCATCATTATTTTCCTTCCATTCCCCAGTTATGTGTTACTTTGTGTTGACGTATTCCATAAAATGCCATCAATACTTTAAAATAATGTAGAAAAGTTTGAGAGGTATGGCTGTACTCACACACACACACACACACACACACACACACACACACACACACACACACACACACACATGTATATAAACCTCTCTCTAAGACACGCCCCTGCAGCAGTCAGAGGGTGGA